AAAAAAGAAAGAAAGAAAAGGAAGGAAGGAAGGAAGGAAGGAAGGAAGGAAGGAAGGAAGGAAGGAAAGAAGGGAGAGAGAGAGAGAAAGAAGGAAATTTTAGACAATAAGTGTTAAAAACTTAGGGGGAAAAAAGACCAGGTCAATTAAGGCAACAAAATAAAACAGAAAGAATGCTGGTAGTTGTGGGGGTGGGGGTGGGTATTGAGAAAAAATAATACTTTTACAGAATTAATAAAATCCTTGAAAACAACAAGTAGAATATTAGAAACAAGTAAGTCACTGATGTGATTGATAGTACACTTAAAAAAAATCACACGTAATACAGAAAGAAGATACCTAAAGATAAGTACAGGTAAGGTAGAACTAATGTGAATAACTGGTATTCCTAAAGTAATGAGATTTTAAAAACCCAAGAATGATTTAAAAAAAAATGTGCTGAAATGGAAAGAATCTAAACTGTAGACTAAAAAAGCTCACTATGCTTCAGTGGAAAAATTCTGTAGAAAATTATCAAGAACAAAATATATTCTGTTGAAGTTAACTGATTTCAAAGATAAACCTGCTAAAACAGACAATTAGGCAGAAGCAGCAAGTCAAGTGCCAGGGGAAAAACATCCGACAGGCCTTATAGGTCTTTCCAGCAATATTCAAGGGAGAAAATATCTACAGATTTTTGAGTACAGGAGGAGAATGTGTGATACAATCATCAGACCTCATCAAATGGCCATTCTTACTGAAAGGCAACAGAATACATTTGTGACATTCTATTGTAGAAAGAATATTTATTAGCAGTATGTACCTATACTGTTCTAGGTGCTGAAATACAAGCCATGTAGACAGAAGATCACTATTCTAATAGATCTTACACTGTGGGAAAGAGAAACAAATACACAAAAATCAGCAAGAAAAGCATCAATCAAAGCATCAATCAGTCAAGTCCTAGGCAAAAAAACTAAAACAAGGGATTGGGTTGGCTACCTTAAATTGGCCTCTCTGTAGACATGACATTTAAACTGAGATCCAAATGACCAGGGACTTTCTGAGCAAGGATGAAAACCAGAATGGAAGGGACAGTTTAATCTTGGACTATTTAAATAAAATAATATGAAAACAGAGTATGAAAGGGAGAAACACGATGAGCTTGGAGAAATGGTAAGAACAGATCATGTGGGATTTTATGAGCAAGGCTGGAAGTCTGAGTAAGATTCTAAGTGGATATTGAAGCTTCATGAAAGTTTGAAGAACAGAGAATTATGATCTGATTTATGCTTTATAAAGTTCACTTCAATGACTCTAGTTTTTACTAGATGATGGGGAATGGAAGGTGTGGGAAAAGAAATGGGAAGACCAAGAAGGTAAGACAATATAGAGACCAATAAGGGAAGCAATATAGAGAAGGAGGTGAATTAAGAATGTGTTTTGAGCTGAATGCGGTGGTGCACATCTGTAATCCCAGTGGCTTGGGAGGCTGAGGCAGGAGGATTGCCAAGTTCAAAGCCAACTTCAACAAAAGCAAGGCACTAAGCAACTCAGTGAGGCCCTGTCTCTAAATGAAAATACAAAATAGGGCTAGGGATGTGGCTCAGTGGTCAAAACTCCCTGAGTTCAATCCCAGGTACAAAAAAAAAAAAAAAAAAAAAGAACATGTTTTATTGGTAGTCTGAAGAACCTACTGACAGATTGATACTGTAGTGTAAATAAAAAATAAATCAAGGTTAATGTCCAGATTTTTGGCTTGGTGAACCATTTACAAAAATGAGTAAGAATGAAAGAATAGTTTGAGGAAGAAAATTTGTAGGTTCATATTGTTTTATTCTAATATTTACTGAAAAATCTGTTTAATGATGGTTTATCATATTGCTAGTTGATATAAAATAAGTCAGAATGGCAAAGACATGACATAAAAAGACCAGTAGTGAGCACCAAATCTATTTCAAATATAAAACTAACTCTGAATAACTGTTTATTATATTTTTAAAGATCACAAATACTACAATTCTTAAAAGGAAGATTAAACAAATGAATACATACTCATACCCTAATATAATAAGAAAGTTCTGAAACCAAAATCCCATCATAAACTGCTAATGACTTAAAAGTGGGAGATGAATAGGCAGGAAAAGGATAAATAGGCAAACTTCTACACTTTATACCTAGGAGGTCAACAAGCTGTCAGATAATAAAACCCCACAAATGTAAGCATATTATTCGAAGTCTTATAAGCCTTCCACTTATAAAACTACAGATTATGTATCTTCCAAATTATCAGCAGCAAAAATAAAAGAAACCCCCAGGCATAATATTTAAAAAGCTTCAAAGAAAAAAACAGAAAACCACAACACAGCCAGGCACAGTGATCCTTGCCTGTATTCTCAGTTACCCAGGAGACTGAGGCAGGAGGACAGCCTGACCCCAGGAGTCTAAGCCACCTGGGCAACAGAGTAAGAGCCCATCTCTACTCTCCTCTTCCCTGCTATTCTCTTCCAGTTACCCCTCCTTCTTTTTTTGTTATACTGAGGATTGAATTCAGGGTGCTCTACCACTGAGTTACAGCTCCAGCCTTTTCACTGGGCATTACATCCCCAGTCCTTTTTATCATTTCTTAAAAGTTTTATTTAAGTTTACTTTTTTGTAGTACTGGGTAAAAAACCCAGGGTGCTTTACCTCTGAACTATACCCCAGCATTTAAAAAAAATTTTTTTTTTTTTTTATGCTACTGGGGATTGTATCTAGGAGCATGTAGGTACCACTGAGCTTCATTCCCAGCTTTAAATTTTTTTTTTATTATGAAGCAGGGTATGATAAGTTGTTCAAGGTTGGCCTCAAACTTGTGATCCTCCTGCTTTGGCCTACCACATAGCTGGGATTACAGGCTTGTATTACCATGCCTAACACAAGAACCTACCTTCAAACAAAGAAACAAACAAACAACAAAAAAAAAAAAAAAAAAAAAAGGAAAAGAAAAAGAAAAAAGAAAGAAAGAAAAAGAAAAAAAAGAAGAAAAAGAAAAAACCCAAATCATCTAAATTAATCTCACAAATATTATTTCTTTCTCTTCTTGATAAAAATATTCAATGTTCTCCTGGGGGAAAAATAGGAAAAGAAAAAGGAAATGGCTGAAAAATAAAAGTAATGAAGATTACAGCATGTAATAAAAAGTTCAAACCTATAGATAAAAGAACTTGTAGTAATGGAACTATCTAGCCATTTAAAAAAGAATAGTCCTAGAACTCTCAACAATTCTTTATTACAAAATAATTTTTAATGAAGCAAACATTTAAATTTTGGAAGGAAACAACTAGAGAAATTTGTGAAAATTTTTATAATTATCAACTAGAAAAAGTCTGATTACAGGGAAGAAGAGAACAGAGAAAGCAAGACTGATAAATTTATCTAAGAGAAATAGACAAGTATTATAAATGGAGTGAAAAGACAGAGAAGACAAATTAGGAAAACTTAAAATGAAGAGTCTCTATTTTCAAAGTGCAAACAGCATCCAAAATGCAATAATAAAAGACGAATAACCTGAAATAAAGACAGGCAATCAGCAGAATATAAAAATGGCCAAATACTAAGATTACATCATTAACATTTACTAAACTTCTTGGGGGGAAGAGTTTAAATATTATTCCATCTTCATATATGAGGGATCTCTAACATAAAATCAGCAGTTTTTACAAAACAAGGAAGTGAGAAATTCAAGCCTTTCAAAGGGTTTTACCTTATAATCCCAGCATTTTATCTTTATATGTTAAGTAATAACATCATACATATGATGTATTTTTCTGTTTTCATTGAATTGTCTTTCCTCTGTTAGTTCCAATATATGGTTTATTGAGAGGTCAAACTCAAAGGATTTTTAAAGCATACTCATTAATTCATTAAATAAATTATAATCAAAAGTAAGCCATACACTCAAGTCAAATAAGTAAAACTGCTCTAATAAGCCCAGTGCACTCACTGAAGGCAGAAGAGATCTTTGTTTCCTATGAGAGCCCAGACCAGAATCTGGACTATCATCACCCCTTGAATATAACTTGAATTTCTGCTGGAGTAACTCTTCCAGGAGAGGCAATTGCTTGTACTGTTCTCATATTCCCTTCTATTTGTGTGACATTTTAGAGATCATTCTATACTTATTAAATGAAACTCTGTAACAGGATTCTAAAATAGATTTATAACAACTTTTATCTGTCAGGTAAAAGGATGTGTCATATTTGAAAGCTTAATTTTAAAGCGTTCCAGCATATGCTACCTCAGTAATACAACCTTTCTAATGAATCATACACATAATTATCTAAAGTTGAAGTACAAAACTGCTCAAGTTAAGAAACTGGAATAATTATGGTCACATAGGTCTCAGTTCATAAGCTGCAATCAAACAGATCACTAAGATATACACCTACCTGGTCAAAAACTACTATTTCCCATATTAAAAACTTTTTAAAAAATCAAAAGCATAAAATTAAGGTTTTTTTTTTACCAAAGTAAATTATTTGGTGTGTTTTAAAAGAGTCTTTTGATATATAGATATGTTAATAAAATAAGCATTAAACTAAGATCAAAATTATCAAACCTAAATCAACCAGCCAGGGAATAGCTGATAAAATAGCATTTTCTGGAATATTATCTGAATATCCCTAAAATATCATGGAAGACTTTTATAATCAAATTTTCATAGTAGCTAAAACTAAGCTAAAATAGTCACTATAACTGTGAAAAATTACTTTTATAAAATTGTCAGTAAGTGCATATTTCAATTTTTTAATATATACATTTTAAATTTTACTTAGCAACAGAACTGTCCCATTGAAACTTTAATGACCTCCAATAGAATTTAACAAAACCATCCTGAATACATTATACTGTCCTGCCAGAACACATAAAGACTTCTTTGGAGAAGAAGGAAAACATGAAGGACATATAGACTATGCTTTTTATGAAATGCACAAGAAAACTGTTTTTTAAAAAAAAGTCTTAAGAGTTTTAATACATACCAGGCTCCAACTTGATGATTTTTACTGCAGCTAACTCTCCGGTATGTACATTTCTGGCCTAAAAATGAAATAAAAACACACAAGTATTACTTGCATTATGCTAATTACTTATCAGTGATGTGTTAATTTAAAAACAAAACCTTTATTTCTAATAAAATGAGTGTACTCACTTTCCCATCAAAGAAAAACGTAGAAAAGGCACGAAAGTATTTAAAAAATTACCTGTAGCTCCACCACTCAAAAACAGCTACTGTTTTATTAATAAAACTATGGGTATAATTCCTACAAGTCTTTTCTTCACACTTGGGTTAATTTTTCTCAATAGTAATTTTTAAAAGCTATAGTTAGAAGAAGTAAGTTCTGGTGTTCTATAGTATAATTCATGGAATATAGATAAAAATCTACAAGAAAGGATTCTGAATGTTTTTACCACAAAGAAATAATGTTTGAGTAGATAGATATGCTTATCCTGATTTGAACCATTACACAATGCATACATGTATCAAATCATTACATGTACCTCATGAATATTTATGTTAAAAAATTTCCATGTACCAAACAAACAAAAACCAACCTATTATAATTTTGTTTATATTATAAGCATAGTTACCAGTCATTAAGAGAAAAATTTAAAAATCAAATCATCTGTATCTAATTACCCAGATAAAAACAGTTAAAACTTTTAGTGTACATGCTCCCCACTCCCCACCATATAAGCATGTACATGAGTGTATGTGTGTATGGAAAATAACCTTTCCAGTAGTCTTCTACAAAATGACTAGCAATGCTGCCTAATTTCTCATTGGCAGAATACATAATTTATTTAACCAATTCACTATTGTTGGACATCTAGAATTTTAATATTATTTTATCATTATAAATACAGGGATAAACATTTTAATTTTGTATATATTTGCAGGCTTTTTTCCTTCAAACAAATGCTTTTCTTAGAAAAGCATTTGCCATTTCACAAAGTATCATGGACAGACCTACTGTAATTAGTGATGTAATGACTAGCCCTAAAAATATTTTAGCACATATCAGCTTATCAACCTAGACGTCTATATAATTGTTAGGTCAAAATGTATGAGGACTTAAAATAGAAATTATTGCCATATTGCTCTAAAAAGCTGTGCATTTATACTTTCATCAACCTTGGATGTTAAACACATAAGTGCCATGATATATTGTAGGCAAAAAACTTTTTATGTTTTTAAAATTATGTACTTTCTCTACGCTACATGTAATTTTGAAGGACTATAAAATAGTCCATATACTCATCCCCCCCTTTATTTCATTAAGGCTACCTTTTCATTATTTAAGCCTATTTCTTTCAGATGGATTCTAAGATGTAGAATTTCTATTTATCTATTTATTAACCCAGGGGTGTCTTTACTATTGAACTACATCCCCAACCTTTTTTATTTTTTTATTTTGAGACAGGGCCTTGCTAAGTTGCTTAGGATCTCGCTGAATTGCTGAGGTTGACTTTGACTTGAGATTCTCCTGCTTCAGTCTCCTAAGTCTCTGTGATTACAGGAGAGTACCAACATACCCAGCTAAGATATGGAATTTTAGATCAAAACTGTTAAGCTGTCAACATGTATTATCAAAATAGTCTAAAAGCACTGTGCCATTATATTCTTACCATAATTATGGGTACTTATCTTCATTGTGCTCAGTGATACACCATAGGTGAAAATAAAATTTACAACTTTTTTTTACTATTAGAATTGAATGTCAACTTTCATAATTGACATAAAAAATAAGGAATGCAATAAAAATAGGAAAGTATTATTTATGGGATTAAATAAGTCACAATCACTAGAAGAAAAAAAGAGAAAAAGAGAAAGGAACAGAGAGTGACAAAGAAAATAGGGAAGACAGCATTGGAAGACACTTTTAGAATGATATTCAAAGGGTAAAAAAAAGGAACAGAATGGTGGAGAGGAATACATGAAGGAAAAGACACAAACAGAAAGGAATAAGAACAAAATCTACAGTAGAAATCTCAACTATTTTGTGAAGAGTAATTCAGGTTTCCCTTATCTTTTGTGGTAAACAGAGTAAAATAGGGTAAGAAGGTCTCAGCACCATTCCCACCATCTTCTCTTCCTTGCTTTTAAATAAAAAGATTGTCTGTTAGCCTCAGGTCATTCCTTGTTCTTAAAAATCTTTCAATATTTTAATTTCCTTTGAGTTATAGAAAGACATGTACATATAAAAAAATTCACATGCCATGGGAACTCTACAATATAAAATAGAGCCAAAAATTATAGAATAATCAGTGACCTCCTAGTAATCTTGTTCAGAGGATTATAAAATGTGTTAGAAGGCAAATTCCAAAAAAAATGACAGCAATTATAGTTGTAATGCTTTATGGTTTGCAGAATTCTTCATATACATTATTTAATTTACTTAAACACAAAGACTCAGTTCAGTAAAATCAAATGACCTATTTAATGTCATTAAGCCATCAGGGATAAGAATCAGATTTAGAATGCAAGAAATGAACTCTGATAACAAGATTTCAGTACTCCCTTTCAAACATAAGAATTTTGTTTTACTTTTAAATATGCAACAGATACCTGAGAAAAATATTAACTATATAACATCTAACAGATCTCAGTGGTGACTTTTGCTCAAAATACATAACAGTGTAATAATCATTTTTAATATTAAATTAACCGTTCCTCTGATGATTTTCATTGTAACAGAATGTGAACTACTGCACATTTAAAGTCTTTTTTTTTTTTTTTTGGTACAGGGATTGAATCCAGGGGCACTTAACCACTGAGCTACACATTCAGCTATTTTTTATCTTTTATTTTGAGACAGGGTCTCACTAAGTTGCTTAGGGCCTTGCTAAATTCCTGAAGCTGGCTTCTTTGAACTTGTGATTCTCTTGCTTCAGCCTCTTGAGTTGCTGGGATTATAAGTGTGCACCATCATGCCAGGTGCACATTTACAGTCTTAAAAAAATAATCTTAAGAGGTAAATTTGATTTAAAAAACCACTCCAACATGTTTAACATTCACCTTAAAGAACTGGGATAACAATCAGATAACATGACTCAATTAATTGTTCTTTTTATGAACCTATATTCTAATCTAGTAAACACAGCCACCTCTATGCTGAAATGCCATACACATACGTGGCTTTCCCTCTTTCCCTATCTTCCTAAGTGATTATGTAAAAGTTTACACTGGAATCCCATGGAGTACAGAAAAACATCTGTGGATGTAAAGAACTTTACATATTAGAAAGAATTAAGGGCAAGAGCCTAGATTGCACAACAAAGTAACATAAGAACTCTCACCAAGAGTGATAGTCAAACCATTCAAGGTTCTAAATTTCAGGTCTGAACTCATTATGATAGTGATTGATGCTAATACATTTCCAACAACAAAATATCTTCAGGCGATAATTTATTCCAGTTTTCCTAGTAAAACAAGCACTAGGACAATGCATTCTGCCACTCACTGGAAAACCAAAACAAAATGTGAGTGCATACTTCTCAATTTCAGATTATCAAACAAGCGTCAACAATGTGAAAAGATCTGTTTCTCTGAAAGCTTGGGAAAACTAATTCTAGTTTTAGTCAGATTAATCAGAAGCAAATGACTATCTCTAGCTTGAAAACACTGTCTTCTCTGTCATACACTCTCCTTCCTCTCCATAACTCCTCTCTCCCTTTAGCTTACACTTGTTCATCATGACTCAGTTTAGTTATCACCTCCCCCAGGAAGCTTTGCCTGGTATCTCAATTCTGGATTAAATATGTGTCTGCTTAGCTCTGGCATAATCCTTTGAAAGACTATGTTATTTGGTAAATGCTCTAAAAGGTTGTTAAATAGACAATTATGACTAGAAGAAGGATATTATTCTCTTTACTTAAAAAATAAGAATAAAATATTAAAATCCTCTATAACTGGGAAATGTGATATACTATTTTAAATAGTCTTCTTTTCAGATGTGTTGATTCATTAATTTTTTTACTATAAATTAAAGCATTTTAGAGAAAAAATTACACAATTATTATACAATAAGATTTGTTATAAAAAATTAAAATAACAAAATAAATCAATAAATATGACAGATCCTCCTCCTAATCTCTAAGGTTAACTACTTATGGCTAACAGTTAAGAGTATTTCCTTCCAAACAATTAATTAGGTTGACTCTTAAAAGCATATATGTCTAAAAGACAAAATGCTGACAGCTTATATCAGTTTAAACCAAAGCTAAACACAGTCTTGCCATATGACCCAGGAATCCCCACCCCTAGCTAGTGCTCAATTGAGTGCAAAACCTATGTCCACACAAAAACTTGCAGACACGTTTGTAGCAGTCATTATTTATAATTGCGAAAAGCTGAAAGCAGTCATGATTTCCTTAAACAGATGAAGGACTAAACAAATTGATCTGTATGGTGGAATATTATTCAGTGATAAAAAATAAGCCATTCAGCCATGAAAAGATATGGAGGAAAATTAAATCTACAATGCAAAGTGAAAGAAGCCAGTCCAGCTACATGACATTCTGAAAAAGGTAAAACTAGATAGGCAGCTTAAAAAAAAAAAAAGGTAATAGTTGCCAAGGGCTTAATAGGGGGAAACATGAATAGGTGAAGCAGAGAGGATTCTTACTTAGGGTAGTGACTATTCTGTATAAAACTGTAAAGATGAATATATGTCATGCATTTGTCATAATAGCAATTTTGGTTTGATAACTGTAACTGATGTACCATACTAATGCAAGATGTTAATAAAGGGGGAAACTGCAAGTTAGTAGGGGGTGGATAAACATAACTATGTATTATCTGCTGATTCTATAAATCTACAACTACATTAAAAATTAAGTCTATTCATTTAAAAAAATATATATAAATTATTTATAAAAATATGTATATTTTCTGGGCTGGGAATGTTGGTCAGTGGCAGAGTGCTTGCCTAGTATGTGTGAGACACTGGGTTCGATCCTTAGCATCACATAAAAATAAACAAATAAAATAAAGGCATTCACAACTACCAAAAAAAAAAAAAAACAACTCTACACAC